GTATAGTTCTAAAATTTGAATTATAATCTACAGTTTGATACCAAACTTATTGACATAAATTCATGAAATAGGCAGTCCAATAAAGTTTTGAGTGCAAGTCAACAAACGAGATGACATGGCCTTTCACCTGTGACCCATCTTGAAAGGGTCAAATGTGCTTTAAATCTAATAAAAGGTCACCTATATCTGAGCCAATTATTTTAAATTATCTGTTTTCTTATCAGGCTCACAATATTACATGTCTAGTAAAGTCTGGTTAAATCTCTGTATCCGCTCATTTCCAACCAGACTCACAATATTACAACAACATGTTTAGTAAAGGCTGGTTAAATCTCTCTACTACTCCATTAGCAACTGGATGATTTGCTGTTGTTTCTGTTTTCTTTACACCTAATATGTTGCATATTTCCTTCAAAAGTTTACCACTTTTTGTTATCAAGAATTGTGGAGTTCTGTGTCAAGCCACAATTTGTTTCTCAAATGCTTTAGCTATAGTTTCTTAATTATTTTAACTTGCAAACATGTACAACTTCTTCCCTCAATATTCCTTCGATGTCATTTTTGTACATGGATGTTTTTAAGTAAATAATATGATTAGGGTTTATTATGTTTTTTCATCTGATAATAAGTTTGTTTATTTAACTCTCTTTAAAGAGCTTGTTGTCTGTTAGGATCGTGTTTTTCATCACAAACATATATGTTATAGTACCATTGACCACAGATCATCGCTTTGAAGATGTTCTTGGTATTAATCTAAGTAGTGTTGTATAAAATCTCCTATAAAAGTATATAGGCTAGAATATTTAACACAATTAATATTATTGCTTGAAATCAATATCATATTTTGTATCATTGGGAATAACAATATTTTTATAATGTATATTGGTAGGTCATTAAACAAGAGAGAAGGTTTATATAACCTGTGTGATGTTAAAGAAATATTCAATAATCATTCTTATAAATTGGAAGATGAAAAATACTTATTGAAGTTTTAAAACATATGTATTGTTCGATATTCAGAATATAATGATTACATTATAGTTGTTGTACCTGATGATGCCACGTTAACCTGATGAAATGTTGTAACCATAGATATTATACTCTGTACATCTGACAATAAATAGATTTTATGTTTTACACGGCAGGGTATTTCTTTTAATTATTTACTTAATGAAAGTATTTTATATGTTTATGACTACCCTGAAGTTTTCTCAGTTTTCAAAATGTTTAGTGTTTACAGACATTTAAAAGATTGGTCTTGTTCTACATTTGTAAAACTTAATTTTCAATTGGTATGTACATATAATTTGATATAGAGTTTCTAATAAATAGGATTGTGTCAAATGGATTTTGAATCCACAACAACTTAGTATGGATACAATCAAGATGCAGATATATATGGATGTGAACTACATTACAAGAAGTATGTTATAAATTTTTATATATTTTACAGATGTTTCATTGTACAATATGCAATTAGTTACATTTGTTGTTTGTCTTCAGGCCTGTTCCACCTTTTGATGTGTTAAGTTTCATAATATTTCAAGTAAAATATAATATTTAAAACCTGTTGAGAAACTTATCACATTAGAAAATCAGGCAGTCTGTTCAATAAACTTTATTTGACCCTACAACTTCCCCCACTACTTTTTTGAGAAATTATAAGTCTGTCGGCTAATAGTCACTTGTTTTTCAAAATTAATGCCTATCACATAGAAATATCAACTTCTAACCATAAAATTGATTACTTTCAAACCAAAGCCTGCTATTACCTTTGAAAAACCAGCTGTATTTAAAGTTAACTCAATGTTTTAAGTGTTTTTTTTCAATAATACTAGCTTTTTAATGTCTTGTTGGCATTATTTAAAAATATAAGTTACAGGTATCTTTTTTTTTGTAGTGTTATTTGCCATTATTTATGATGAAGTTAAATGTTGAATTTTATTTATTTTTTTGAAGTATGTGTATACCGCATAAACGTCTATGCAGGTTTTTATTTATGTTATTTCATAGTGACCTTTAATTTTTTCCTTTGGTGTGGTAGTTGAGTAAGTGTAAAAGTCAGCTGCAGTAGAGTCCTTCAAAATGTTTACCACTATCTCTTAACAAGGATTCTGGAGTTCTGTGTCCAACTTGATTCTCAAATGCTTGGTGGTACTTGTAATTTATATTTTCAATAGTCAGCTATTTCATGATGTTTAAATAAATATTTCAACCATTTATTATAAACCAGTATCTCAATAGTATTGAATTATTCTTCTTGACACTCAATGACTGATCAACACACTCTGCAAATCACAATTAAACTGGTTGTTGTGTGGTATGAAATGCCACATACCTCACTCTCTTGTAGAGTATATTTCATCTTCACAAAATGTTTAAGTTTTTGTGAAGTTTGTGAAGTACAAAACATTAAATTTAGTTTAGGTCATATGCTGGTTAAACTCAAGGTGTTACTTTCTATAGTGGAATCCATTCATGCAAACTGTCTACTTTCTTGAGGTAGTTGAGTTGTGTCTTACTTTAGCTTGTGTATGTTGGCAGTTCTGCAACTGTCATGTGCAGCAGAGATATTTCTGTATACTTATGATTATGTTTTTTTATTTGTCAGTGATAGAGAAATGGTATGGAACATGAGCACAGTTTTGTTTTCAGGCATATTCTTTTTTCATTCAAAAGGGTCAAGAGTTGCTGTTAAATTCTTGTATTTGTTTTCTTTATCTTTCAACTTCCTGATTGTATAGACATCATTTATGTTAGTTGATCATCAATAATAAGTTTAATTTTTAGTATAGCTTTTTTAAATTTTCTTTTATTTAAATACACTTTATTATTTTACTCTTAACTTTACAACCACCATCACAATAGTTCCACAGCTAAGCTGATCATCTAAAATGTAATTTTTTCTCTTCCTCTTGCAAATAAAGTTTGTTTTGTTTCAACTTCACATAAAATTTTGTTTGTTTATTTCTTTCCTCCTACAATAAATAGTGGCATATGTCCTTCTACTTACTAAGTTTATGAATGTCTCATTATTACATAGATCAGATAACTGTGTGCTTGGTTAATCCTTGGAATACCACAGATTGTCTCATTAGATACAAAATTTCAGTGCTATTCACTAGCTTTTAGTTATTGTAAAGTGATAATTAATTTGTCTTCAGTCCCTGAAAATTATTTCTCTCTTATGCTCCTTCGAGGTACTGGCCAAAGGAATTTTCTGTGATTTGGTAAAACTTATGGCAGGGTAGATATAATAGAATCTGTTTGAATTGAAAAATTTCATTATTGGATGCTCTTTACACACACTGAGATGATTAAATTGTGCTCTGCTAAATTAAAGCTATTTTTTCGACAAAAAGTGGTCTGGTCCACCTGATGAAAATGTCAGTTAATGTATCATGTAATGGTTCAGAAATACAAAATGATACAAAAACATGGTATAGTGGAATGGATAAAAAGAATCAGAAGTCTTATTAAAAAAAGCTTGAAGAAAGTAGAAACACACGTGCAGATATATATATTGTGGTATAATAAGCAGAATTTATATTCTTAAGAACCTAGTTTATGATTACAGACACATTACAATATCAGTATATAGTACACTGTGTTATGGAGTGAGTAAAGTGTAAAACATTTGTAATATCTTAAGAATATATGTGTGAACTAAACTTCAAATGTTTCTATTATATATAAAGGAAAATGTTTTAATACTTGCTGAAAATATCTTTTTTTTTAATATATTTAAATAGATGATTTTATCCAAAAGCACCAAAGTACAGTGTGCTCAAGGCTACAGTCTATACAACAAGAGATCACAGATGCTCGAGCTAGAACCAAGCAACAGTTGGAATTACTTTACAGTACAATAGTGTCTTATTTATTAATGAAGACAGGTTTGGGAAATCCAAGTGAAACTGGTGCTGTGAGAGAAACGACTGGTAGGTTTATTTTTACATGACTGTAACTTCATTGCCCAAATAAAATATGCCTTCCCATAGAAAAGTACTCCCAAACCTAAGAGCTTGAGTACTTACATATCTTAATACAATTTTAAATGAAAAACCACCAGGTGAAGTTATCATTTCGAAGCAATCTTACCTCTTCTCAAACAAAGCTATCGCGATCCTTGTTTGTCATCTAAGCATTGTTAAAAAAATGTTTGCCACCAGCACACCAGTCTTTATACCCCATCAGTTTCACACCATTTCTGAACATGTACATATCATGTGACTACTCTACACCAATAGTATTGCACCATCTATACTGGTGTAGCTAGCTCTCTCTGCCATTCCACTCAATCCCCACTTTCTCGATTGGCACGCCATTGTTTAGATGTGTGTTTTTTCACATGTGGCTACCTTTATGAATGTGCTTCTTTGCCATTTAAATTTTTTTTTCAACTTTTAGTGTTTGGATTCACTCATTTCAAAAAGCAGACCACTCTCGACAAAATAACTTAATCAATTAAGTTGCATTTCTTCTGGATGTTTTTGCCTGGGTGGATCATATTAGACACAAATACCTTAATCAATTTTAAGGTGTTTGCCCTGGATGTCTTTGCCCAGGTGGACTGCACTAGATAATAAAACTTCATCTATGGGTCACAATGTCAAAACCCAGCTTGAGTTCCCCTGGATGTCTTTGCTCAGGTGGACCTCACTAGACAATATCACTTCATCATTTGATAAAAATGGGCAAACCTACTTGTGTTTCTCCTGGATGTTTTGCCTAGGTGGATCTCATTCAACAGATTAACTTCATCAATTGACAAAAACAAATAACCCTTCTGGAGCTTCCCCTGGATGTGGACTGGTCTAGACAGTTTCCTTAATCAATTGATTCTGGTATAGATTACACAGTCCTCATGCCTTAGCCACATGTTATTCCATTTTTCACATTAGTACAATATTAAGCACAATCCTGTGATAAATGATACATATGTTCTTTGGAACATCCAGCTCTTACATCACTTGTCCAGTGATATAAGTATAATTACCACATTCATTCGTGCCTGTTTTTCCATTCTGCCCATTTTGTGTTACTTTCCTGTTTCCGTGGTGAACACCACACCTGTTCTAGAAGTAGTGCAGTACCCCACTGATGTGCTTCATTTTCATCTCATACCATACCTGTTCATTCTCAGTAGTCGCTTTCTGCTTGGTTTGATATTTGTGTGCCTAAACTGACCCCTTAACCTTTGTAATGTGGGATTCTAGCTTTGTGTGAGAGGAGTAAGACCATTTTTGGAAGTTAACATTTTCTTACACTGAAAATGTATTTCTGATAGGTACTTACCCCTTTTCACACACTTCCCACCCTTCCTCCCCACTGCTTGTGTTTTTATGTTAATACCTGCCAATTTTCCAAAGTGAGGATTCAAGGGGAATAGCAGAGGGAGCTAGTAGTGCCAGTATAGATGGCACAATACTTTTGGTGGAGAGTAGTCACATGATACATAAATGTTCAGAAATGGTACAAAACAGATGGGATATAAAGACTGATGTGCCGGTTGGAAAAATTTGTTTAGAAATGCTTAGAGGGCAAACAATGATCGAGATAGCTTTGTGTTAGAAGAGGTAAGTACCTATCGGAAATACATTTTCAGTGTAAGAAAATGTTAACTTCATGTAGCAGAAAAATGTGTGAAACATAATCATTAATTTTCTTTTAGTTTTGTAATTATAATCATTATTTTCCTTGACAAAACAGCTGAGTCAATATAGTACTTCATTTTAATACTGTATCTTACAACAAAACTTTACCATAAAACTATTTTCAACTTCCAAATGCTTAACAGTTCTTTTCAAAACAAAAGTGCATAAAAATTCATTTTGTGAGTTTCAGGAAAAAGTTTATAGCTTTTTTTGAAATACTAAAAATGTTATATGAAAACTGTGCATTTAAAAAAAAGTAGTTGTCTGTTACTGTCTGTGAGAAGTAGGTGTGATAAAAAGGGAATCTTTGTTCTTTTTGTTAAAAAGTGTTTCACGAATAAGCTACAGAACTGAATAGACAAGAACTGAGTAACTAGTGGTATTTGCTTATCAAGTAAGTTATGGCCCCATCTATCGATTAAATTTATCTAATCAGTTATTACTGTGTGGCTCTCAAACCATGGTACATACAAGCAAAAAAAAAAAGAAAATTTGTTGGCAAGGGCTGCCAATAAGCTACCTTTCCTCAGGTCAGCAAGTTCAACAATGTTAGCAGTGGGTGCCAGCCATTTGCCTTCCTTGTAGTCAGCTGCTCACTGCTCAAAATTAGAGACAGTGTCACTATTCAGTGTAATTGTTGCTCATAGATGATTAATTATATTAGGATATTTTTTACTTGAATCACTCTAGATAAAGAGTATCATATTCTTTTAGTTACAGAAACAAATGAATTATGACAAATACTGTTTTAAAGTTTGTCAGTATCTGCTGCTGTTTTATAGGAAGTGTAGTTTGATGCACTTTCATGGACTTTCACTGAGTCAGTATTGATCATTTTCTTCTAGATTTTTAATTAATAAAATAAGTCTGCTGGTGTGGCAAGAAACTCCCAAAATTTCCCTCACTAATTATATATCTGTACATGTATTATTCTCTACAAAATAATCTTGTTTATTCAACCTGGTGGTTTGGCAATAAGCTTGAGAGCTTATAATGCTAAAAATTGGGATTTGATACCCGTAATGACCGCAGGGCAGATAGTTCATTGTGTAGTTTGCACTTATATACAAATAAACAATACAGAGCTTCTTACAGTTATTTTCACATGCACTAATTTCAAATGACATTCAAGACAAGTTATTCCATTTTTATCTATTGACAGGATTTGTGTAAGTCATGGAAAGCCCTGGAAATTTTTTATTTCCATTTGTAGGCATGGAAAGTCTTTAAAAATGATAACGGTAATAATGTAAGTGTCTTAGAAAGTTAAAATACCTCAGTCAAAATATATATTCAGAGGTTTTAAAATATTAGCAAAAAAACCTTCTACTTTGTCAATTATTTTAAATCCTGACTTTTACAATCATTCTATTAATATACCTAAACAGTAAATTAAATTTGATAAAGAAGTTGTAGCTATTTTGTGAACACTGAATATATGGTGAGTCATTTACTGTCTGAACTGACTGAGCCTCCAATAATGAAATGTTTAAGTATAACACATTCACCATCTTACTTCACATCACTTACTTCACGTTGACTTAACTTTTGGATTTACGTATGGCCTCTTTTCTATGGCAATACCTTTTTGACATGATCCCAGAAACAACGAGTGGCATCGGTTCAACAACAATCTACACTTACCAATATTATTGCAAGTTTGTCTCAATCAGAGCCCCATATGCCTCCTATTACAGTTTCTTGTCCTTCCCCTTCCCAACCCTTATCTGTATCTTCTTCTTGGGGTGACTCTTCTTGTCATTTTTTTTTTCTTGACCACGCACTTCAAGTCACCAACAGTACTGGTAACTACCCAGTGGGTTCTGGTCCAATGGGAACTCAGCTTCCTGATTTTTTATTACTGGGGTTTCTTCTTCGACGATCAGTGAGTTCTTCAGGTTTTGTCAGAAGGATTTGTGATCCCCTTCCTTTTTCCACCTTTTGTGTCTCCTTTTCCTGTTTCCTTACCTCCTTCTTGGGATCCCATGACTAGTCAGCATCTGTTGGAAGCGGTTCGAGAATCAGTAACATTCAGTGGTAGTATAAAATAGGGAAGGAAGTAGATCAGTATCTCTGAGTGGTAGTATAAGATAGGGAAGGAAGTAGATCAGTATCATTCAGTGGTAGTATAAGATAGGGAAGGAAGTAGATCAGTATCATTCAGTGGTAGTATAAGATAGGGAAAGGAAGTAGATCAGTATCTCTGAGTGGTAGTCTAAAATAGGGAAGGAAATAGATCAGTATCTTTGAGTGGTAGTATAAGATAGGGAAGGAAGTAGATCAGTATCATTCAGTGGTAGTATAAGATAGGGAAGGAAGTAGATCAGTATCATTCACTGGTAGTATAAGATAGGGAAGGAAGTAGATCAGTATCATTCAGTGGTAGTATAAAATAGGGAAGGAAGTAGTTCAGTATATTTTTTAGTCCCTGGGAAGGACAGCAGTAAATCTATGGATTTACAATGCTAAAATCTGGGGTTTAATTCCCTGCAGTGGAGATAGCCCAATGTGGCTTTGCTATAAAACAAACAGAATATCTTTATATGTTGTTATGTAATTAAATCAATAAATGTACAAATACAGCTATATTTGTACAATTCCAGATAATACACGTATTTAGGTAATTTTCAGTTTTCTCATACAGTTAAATATGTGAACTGTTAAAATACTGATTTTTTTTATCGTGAGTTTAAAAAATGTTTTCATTTTTGTGAAGATAAAAAATAAGATGATTATGACTTTATAAATTTTTAACAGCAGCCCTCCAGAATGTGTTCCCTCAGACTGAGCTTGGAGCCTTTATGGCCCTTGACAAGGAGAGCAAAATACAAAAACTGTCAGAGTTAGCAATGATTGTCACTGGAATCAGACTATATCACCGAGATAGAGGTAGTGAAGGCATTGGAATAGATAATGGTAAGTGATAAAGGTTTATTTTTATTAAGCATATGTAGTTTTTTAAAAAATTGCTCTAAGTGAGCTTAAGAAATACTTACCAACTAAAAAAACCATGAAATATATTTTAGTGGGAAACTTTGTTTTTCTTTTTTTGAAACACTGGATTTTATTTGCAAAGCCAAACAGTTTCACTAAATAAAGGAAATACAGTGGTATTTCTTGCATCATATCATGTGATAACTTCTGAACAGATTGAATTTTCATGGATCTTAAAGAAATTGAAAACATTTTAAAACTTCTTTAAAGAAAACATGAACCGTTTGGAGAACACATAAAAAAAATCTGTTCAATGGAACTATAGCTGTTTGCCCCATACAAAGGCATTTGTATGACAATTTATTTAATCTTTCTGATTTTTTGTTGTTATTTTGTTAATTTTGCAACCCCATCTCTTCTATTGGAGTAAATATAGCACTGTGTTTTAGAATGAAAGTTATAACTTGGATTTTACACAAGCTACAAAATATAATTGAGCTTTATGTGCTTTTAAATAGTATAATCCTTCATGTTATGCAACAATTAAATCCTAAGGTCAACCTTTAAAAAAAGGCAAATTTCACAATTCAGATGTGTTAAAACTGAATAAATATGACTATTTTTAACATTTTAGTAGCTAGAAAATCTATTTATAACATGAAGTATTTTCGGTGCAAAAAGAATTAAAATTTACTTAGATATAACAAGGTCATCCACTGGATTTCAAAACTGTGTGTGAAATACCTTTGAGTGTCAAACTCTGAGGATGAACACTTAAGTTATTAGTGAAGACACTGCTGCCCCCTGAAATAATTACCATGTTGATTTTATATCTTTGTGATTCTCTGTTAGTTTTTGGATTCATTCAACCAAGATTTCCCTGCACAAACGTACCTGTATGCTGCAATTTTTGTACGTGAACTAGGAAATATGTGCAGGAAATACTTGGGGTTCCATGTTAGTTTATTGAAAGTTTAAAGGTAGGTAACTGTAGGAAAATCTGTTATTCTGTGCCATTGATTCTCAAAGCATTAATCACCTGGTCATTTGTCCTTAAAATTTACTTTTTTGAGAATCCATTTTGAACCATTTGTGGCCATCTTTGCATTTTTTATTTGGTAATTCTGTCTGTTTCTGTGAAATTTTGTTTATTTACCTTTATTTTTTATTTTATCTAGGTTCATTCTCCGAGGTAAATGGCCCTGTAGTCTCTTTTCCTGCCTTCTTGCCCCATTTCTTTAGGTAATCTTTAAATTTTAATTTACTTTATTTCTTAAATGCCCTTTTTTACCATTTGAGATGATGTGGGAGGTCACCTTCAATTTTTCTGGCTCCACTGAGCTCCTATAATCCAACACCACTGCATTCTTGAGAGTTTTAACCTCTCCTCCAACTGACTGAGACAGTAACACTTTTTCTGTTTTGCAATTTATTAGTTTTCTGTTTTAGTATCATAACTGATTGAAGGTCATTGCAGGTATAACAGAGCAGTAGTGGATTCTAATGTAGTGTAGTGGTGGTGGTGGGGGACTAGTCCTGCTTGATTTCTATTCAAATTTCTTTGTTGTTTATTAACATAGATGGCTTGAGACTAAACTAGTCTCAGTACTTAGCTACTGTTATCTCACTTCATGATGGAGATTGTCTTGAAACTTGTCCACCTTTTCAAATCTTATGTTGAGGTGATCAGATTGAATATCCAGAATTTTTACTTTCATGTCTCTGTTAATGACATTTGCCAATAATTCACTGTTATGCTTTTTCTTTTATTGCTCCTTATATGTTATCTCATATGTAAGAGCATGGTAATGACTGTGTTGAAGATTATATTAGACCAAATGCATAAGATCAGCAGTAAAACAAAGATGAAATTTTCACAGCAAACTTTGGCTTTTTCAAAGAATGAAACTTCTCTGTAGCTGACCATTTAGAAAATGGCCACTGGAATGTAGAAGTATCTCTGTTCCAGCGATAGTCGTCTATACTCAAGATAAAGTGGAATACAGTACAATTCTTCCATGAAACAGAAGATAAGTTTCTTGGGTCTTCAGAAATTAACACCTCATGCGAAATTTATCATATGACATCAAACAGATTTAGTGTGTTCCCAAACTTAAAATAGAAAAATTTAAATAATTTTGCTGAACCATAGGAGAGTAAAGTATTGTTACTTTACTTAATGATAAACTTAAAAGGGTAAACACCTTTAAGTATCTTGGGTCCTATGTGGCATCAAACAGTACACTCGACTCTGAAATAAGCCATAGAATCCAGTCGGGATGGAGAAATTGGAAAAATGCGTCGGGAGTGCTATGCGACAATAAGATCGGCGCAAGGGTGAAAGGAAAGGGTCTATAAAACCGTTGTGAGACTTGCGATGATGTACGGAGCGGAAGCCTGGTCCATCAAAAAGGCTCAAGAGAAAAAATTAGAGGTAGCCGAGATGAAAATGTTGAGGTGGATGTGTGGAGTGACGAGGCTTGATAGGATTAGAAACGAGAGGATTCGAGGAACAACTAAAGTAGTGGAAATATCGAAGAAAGTTCAGGAGAGAAGATTGCAGTGGTATGGGCAAGTGATGAGGAGGGAAGATGATTATATAGGCAAGAAGGTTTTGAATATGGAGGTGGAGGGGAGAAGGAAGAGAGGAAGATCAAGGAGAAGATGGAAGGATTGCGTGGATGGAGATATTAGAGAGAAAGGCCTTGTTGGGGACGAATACGAAGACCAAGGAGAGTGGAAACGTGCTGTCAAAAATAGCGACCCCGTATAAATACGGGAAAAGCTACAGAAGAAGAAGAAGAAGATGTTCAAATGAAGATGGAGGTGACATAAAGATGATGAGAGTTAAAACATCGTAGCCATTTGTCACATGAAGATGATTGCTGTTGAAATGTCGCGGCTATTAGTCAAATGAAGATGACAGCTGAAAATACGTGACTATTTATCACATGAATATGATGGCAGTTGAAACGGCGTGGCCATCATTCACACGAAGACGATGACAATTGAAACGGCGTGGTCATTAGTTACATGAAGATCATGAAAGATGAAACGTCGTGGCCATTAGTCAACGTGACCACTTTCTGACGTAGTTTTATCCATATTTATATCTATAAGGTAAGTCATACATCTTTATTGCCTAGATCTGGGCAATTATGTCTTTATGAGGTTATATTAGAAACAAACTTCATCGTTAACGACAAGAATTGTCACTTCCCTAATGAAGCAAGGAACTATATGTGCACATATATAACATGAATTTTAGTTTTCGACAATCCTTTCTAATGTGCTTTTTAAATAGGTGTTGATGTACTGTAAGCTGGAAATGGCCTTGTATCAATGCACCCGGAATGTGAATCAAGGCTCGCGGCTTTGTGCTTTATAAGAGTGATATTCAAATTCCACTGTTCGATCGGACAGGAATAGATGAAGGGTTGACAAAAGGGTACTGTTTGATTAGCTTTTTCTCTTTAGTTTATCAGTTCAAAATTAGGGACTGCTATGCGCAGATAGCTTATGCGTAGCTTTACACGAGGTACTGAAAAAGAAAACAAGCTATATATTTCAGTTTATCGCAATATTAAAATTATTTTAAAACTGTCGTGAATGATTGTTCAAATTTAGATTATATAATGCGATTGCGAGAAGGATAGAAGAACCGTTGTTCACAAAATACCAAATTCTAAAATATTAAACGGTTATTGGTTTTATTAACAGAAATTTATTAGGATATAACAAAACTTATATTTAAGTACAACAAGTTCGGCACATACATGTCGAGAACAACTGTGTATCCCGCTAAAATTACTATCAAACCACGAAATCTCTAATTTCGATTTATAATATAGAATTTTTAAGTTTATTACAATCCAGAAACGTTGGCAAGAATATATACCAGGTGTCTGGTTCGGGCCAAATCTTTCTTCACAATTACCAGGATTAATTTTTATAGGCTTGGCATGTTCAGGGCTGCAAGGTTCGAGTCGCAATATACTCATCAAAGTGCCCTCCCTCCAGTGGCACAGCGATATGTCTGCGGACTTACAACGCTAGAAACCGGGTTTCGATACCCGTGGTGGGCATAGCACAGATAGCTCTTTGTGTTGCTTTGTGCTTAACTTCAAACAAACACTTTGAGCCACAATAAATTCCGTTATTAGGTTAAAAGTAACCATGTAGGTTACGGATGTTGCTAATTGGTTGCTCTTCTTTTGATCACCAGTTTTACATTAGGGATGGGTATGCTTAAGCCTTAGGGTTTCTGACGTGGCCCTTTATTCAATGTGTTGAATAAGTCTGAAAATTAGCTATTATTTTTACATCTCCATTTGTGTCTTATTTTATATTTCATTTTATTTTGTTTAAATTTGGAGAACTGATCCAATGATAACTATAAAACGTTTCTTTCCAGGAAAATAAATATATTTTGGGGTGATTGATCACTTTCAAAACGTTTGTACTTTTTTTCTTAACAACATTTTTATAAGTATCCCAAACCTATAAACCTCTTAACCTACAAAATATAACATCATCACTAAAGGAAACTATGTTTTACTCTAGTCCAAAATTTACATTTCAGGCAGTTTACACAACCTTTTTCATGCAATCCAGGGAAGCATAGAACTGCATTAGTTAGCATCTTTCTTAAGGGAAGCAATGTTTCCAAGTATAATACAGACAGTAAACCAAAGTTTTAACTGTAACCTGGATAATGAAACCATCTAGTCTTGGTAACAAACCAATGTTTTCAAGTATAATATAGACAGTTATTTAAAGAACTAACTGTAAACTGGATAGTGAAACCATGTAGTCTTGGTAACAAACCAATGATTCCAAGTATAATATAGACAGTTATTTAAAGTTTTAACTGTAAACTGGATAGTGAAACCATGTAGTCTTGGTAACAAACCAATGTTTCCAAGAATAATATAGAGAGTAAACCAAAGTATTAACTGTAACCTGGATAGTGAAACCATGTA